CGGGCCCCGGCGCGGCTCTCACTGCCAGTTCCAGCCATGTTCCCTTGATACTTAATGAACTCTGACAAACTTCTCCTCTCCCTCGCTGTTGTTCTCTCTCTCTCTCTCTCTCTCTCTCTCTCTCTCTCTCTCCCTTTCTTTCTTTATTTCTTTCTTTCTCATTTAATTTCTTTCCCCTCTCTCCCTCTCTCTCTCTCCCCCCTTTCTCTCGTTCTCTCTCTTTCTGTTTTATCCTCTCCCTCTCTCCCTTGCCCTCCCTTTCTCTCTCTCTCTCTCTGTCTCTCACCTTTCGCTCTTTTGCTGTTTCTCTCCCTCTGTCTCTCTCTCTCTCTCTCTCTCCCCCTTTCTCCCAATCTCTCTCTCCACTGTCTATTGCTGTCTTGCCCCCCCTCTCTCTCCTTCTTTCTCTCCTCCTCTCTCTCCCACCTTACTCCTGTTTTCTCTCTCTCCACTCTCTGTCTTGTCCCCTCTCTCTCTCCCCCTTTCTTTCTCCCCCTTTCTCCCACTCTCTCTCTCCGCTTTCTATCGCTGTCTTGTCTGCCCCCTCTCTCCCTCTCCTTCTCTCTCTCCCCCTTTCTTTTTCCCCCTTTCTCTCGCTCTCTCTCCACTTTTTTTCTTTCTCTGTCCCTCTCCTTCTCTCTCTCTCTTGCCCCCTCTTTCTCTCTTTCTCCCCCTTTCGCCCTCTCTCTCTTTCATCTCTTTCTCACTCTCTTCTCTCTCTCCTCTCTCTCTCTTTCTATTCTTACCCCTTTCTCTCACGCGCTCTCTTTCTCTCCCACCCCCTTTCTCTCTCTATCTTTCTCTTCCCTTTTTTTCTCTTTCTCTCCTGCCCCCTTTCTCTTTCTCTCCCCCTTTCTCCCTCTCCCTCTCTCTCTCTCTCTCTCTCTGTCTCTCTCTCATGTCTTTCTCCCTCTCCCTCTCTCTCTCTCTTTCTCTCTCTCCCTCTCTCTCTCTCTCTCTCTCTCTCTCTCTCTCTCTCTCTCTCTCTCTCTCTCTCTCTTCTCTCTCTGTCTCTCTCACTCTCTCTCTCTCTCACTCTCTCTCTGTCTCTCTCACTCTCTCTGTCTCTCTCTCCTCTCTCTCTCTCTCTCTCTTCTCTCTCTCTCTCTCTCTCTCTCTCTCTCTCTCTCTCTCTGTCTCTCTCTCTCTCTCACTCTCTCTCTCTCTCTCTCTCTCTCTCTCTCTCTCTCTCTCTCTCTCTCTCTCTCTCTCTCCTCTCTCTCTCTCCTCTCTGTCTCTCTCTCTCTCTCTCTCACTGTCACTCTCTCTCTGTCTCTCCCTCTCTCTCCCTCTCTCTCTCTCTCTCTCTCTCTCTCTCTCTCTCTCTCTCTCTCTCTCTCTCTCTCTCTCTCTCTCTCTCCTCTCTCTCTCTCTCTCTCTCACTCTGTCTCTCTCTCCCTCTCTCACTCTCTCTGTCTGTCTCTCTGTCTCTGTCTCTCTCTCTCCCTCTGGGGTTAGGGTGCCGGTCTCTCTGTGGACGTCCCAGGAGGGTGGGGTGTAAAAATAAAGGTGTCGGCGTGGGGTTTTTAGTGCGAGGTGCTCGTCTGCGCTCGTCCTCGTGCTGATCTGCTGCTTCCAGAGGCTGAGTGTGCACAGAGCTGAGCCTAACCAACATGGACTCCCCTGACGGCTTCATTAAACACATGATCAAGTGCTCCGAGTTCTGTTTTAATAGAGCTTTCGTCTGGTTCCTCTGTATTTTTCTGATTTGTTAAAGGTAAAGGTGAACAGGTATATCACTGCATTGTTTTTCATCGATTTTCTTTTGGATTTCAGGACACGATCTACAAAAACATGATCAAATTACTCCAGTTAGAAAAGAAAAAAAGTGGAAATCATGTCTTAACCAGTGGTGGAAGAGGTACTCGAGTTTTGTTACTTAAGTAAAAGTACAGATATTGAAGCAAAGGTAAAAGTGTTACATGAAAAAGTATTAAAGTACCTGTTTAAAAATGTATTTAAAAAGAGAAAAAGTAAAAGTATTCCATGCAGATTTTGAAGTGAAATAAGCTTCAAATGTAGTGATTTTACAGATTTATGCTAAATTTTGTCCAACAGAATCAAATGAATCAGTAGTTTTTTCCCCCTGAGCTGTTTTAATTTATGTTTTTATATTTTTGGTTTGCTCAAACTATGAACATGTTAAAAATAAACCATCAGCCTTTTCAGCAGCTCATAAAAATACTTTTACTTTTTAGTCTACTTATGAAGTATAAACCAACGAGTAATAAAGTATAAACCAAAAAGTATCCACTTTAAAAGTACAGATACCTAAGGGTCCGGTCAAGTGGTAACGGAGGGAAACAGGGGCAGATTTTTGACATTCAAATGTCTCTTATTCAGAAACTAGAGGGACTATTGAAATAAGTAAAGTATCAGAATGTAGGAAAGAGTTACACTCCAACAGGGTCAAGTTAAACCTGTGATATTCTTTCAAGTTGTTGACAAAAAATGTTAAAACTCATGTCGGTAACGGAGGGAATGAAATATGCAGCACTTTTTGGGCAATAAATCCAAACAGTGATAACTCTTGGTTCTCACTTCCATATCCTTAACAAACTGGTTTGAATATTTGCTTCATATAGTTTTCTACCATATGGTACAAGATTAGGTTGAAAAACCTCTTACTTTTTGAGTAATGACATTTTTTATTAAGAAAGGTCATGGTAACGGAGGGAAAAGTAACGGAGGGAAAATTGTACAAACAAGTAGAAGGTGCATGATTTTACATCATTTGTCAACTTTTTTCTTCTGAAAACTTTAATATTACTTCAAAATGAAAGAAACTATTTCTATAAAATATGTCAGTCCTTCCAAGCAAATTTTTATCATTTTAAATACTTTTTTTTTTTTTTTTTTTTAATCATGTACCTTCATCAACAGTTCAAAGATGGAATAAACACAAGATATGATGAAATACATCCATTTATTTACATGATTTGCAGGTCTTTGAAATTTGGGAAATAATTTTTGTTCCATGTTTCATACATGGTCTGTTTAAAACGTATGGAACTTTAGAACCAAAAATGGTACAGAAAAAATGTAAACAGTTTGATAAACTAGAGTACATATGTATCTGTTCAATACATTTTTATATCAGATGCATTAACTTGAATTTTTGACCTTGCTGTTTACTTCTGCTTGACCGGGCCCCTAAATCTTTAAGAGGTTTTTCAAAAGTACAGTACTTCTTTTACTTTGTTACTTTGTTACTTTGTTCGTTCCACCCCTGGTCTTAACTCCAATGGCAGATATTATTAAAGCCTCATTACGTAACTTTTTAACCAAGGCATAAATGATAGAAGTGCTTTTTTCCCATTTTGTATATTTCTATTTCACTAAAAAATATTTATTTGGAACTGTTCATTTGCTGTAATATTCCACAGTGTTGCGTAAACAGATCTCCAGGGAGTTTTTATGGATTTTATTTTCTAGTTCCATGGAATCGTACAGTGCCACAAGTTACACGGTGTTACTTTAAATAACTCTGTGAGTAAGTGGCGATGAGTCAAAGCACTCCAGAGATCTAAAAATCAAGGATGTTGTTGGTTTTGGGTTCAGATGGAAGTCCCAAAGTAAACATGACATGGTCTCTGTCGCCACCTGCTGTTCAGGTGTGGGAACATACAACCTTAAAGTGTAAACGATGGACGTTTATGATTCTCAAATTTTGACTTAATTTGGCAGAATTATAACTATTGTAAATATAAATTATAATTTTACACCAAGAAAGAGACCATTTGAGAAGAAAAGTAGAAAAATACATCTGATACTTTTGATACTTTAAACATGATTTCAGCAAAATAAAGGTGTTTTCTTATATTTGTGTTTGTCAGATAATATTTTCTGTGCACTTTAATGGAGATTTTCTAGGTAACAGTTATGGAATTCCCTTGTTCCAACCAGGAAGCTAAATTTGAAACCTAAAATATGACCGATAACTGTGAAAAAGTGTAAATGTTTTTAGCAAAAATCTTGAATACAATGATCTTAATTGTGTTTTAGTAAAATGAGTAGTCTAACATGTCACAGGCGCTTTAAATAACACAGTTCCAAAACAGGATAATGGAGCGTTGCCTTGTTATGGTCTAAATATAAAGACAGTAAGTTATTGTCAACCTGAAATGGTGTCAAATCTAAAATTACAATATCAAAATTCCAGTGAATCACATACTCACATTTTGCTTGTACTGTGACAGGCTACTTGGGATTGTAACTTTTCCAGTGGAAAACCTCACCTCAACTTCCACCTTCATACAACTCACCCTTATGGAATGGATAATACTCCCTACAACTGTACAACAACTCACCCTTATGGAACGAATAACCCTATGTCTTGTCAATCATCATATCCTTGTTGCACCGTCTTCCTATTACTTCTTATCTAAAGCTGAGATTTAATTTTATTACTTATTTTTCAAGTAGATTTTGACAAATCACAATGTAATATAATAACAAAGAGTACACAGAACTTAGTCACACTGGAGGAGCTCAGAGTAGAGCCGAATGCTTCCTGGATGTCTCCTTGGGGAGGTGTCCCGGGCATGTTCCACCAGGAGGAGGCCCCGGGGAAGACCCAGGACAAACTGGAGGGACTATGTCTCTCTGCTGGCCTGAAAATGCCCCGGTTCCTCCTGGAGGAGCTGGAGGAAATGTCGGGGGTGAAGGAAGTCTTGGAGTCCGTACTTGGACTGCTGCCCCCGTGGCCCGCCCCTGATAAGCAGAAGAAAATGGATGGGTTTAGTAAAGAATCTTAAAATATATATAAAAATGGTAATAATAAATTCTAAAAGAGACTGGTGTTAAATAGACTATACAAAATTATATAAAAGTATTTGTACATTTACACATATATTTATATAAATGTATATAATTATGACAAATAGACATAATTCTATACATGTATATAATTGTCTAACCTTAAGCCTATGTCTCAGTAGCCTTTACCCGACCTTTTAATAACTGCTACTTCGCTGGTGTCCACTAGAGGGCGCCACGGACACAGCGCAGAGCTCGGGAGCTGCCGAGGAGGAACATGGATCAGTATGAGCGCAGAGGAAGAGGTGGAGGCAGCAGCAGCAGAAGCAGGTGCCTCTGAACCAAACCCGAGCCATCTCCGCCGCCCAAACAGGTAAATCACCCCGAAACTACCGGCCGATCTGTGAGGACCTCTCCTTCACACCACCCGGCCGGACCAGAGCGGTTTGATCGCTAATTCCGCCGCGAAACAAGCGTAAACAACGTGAAAATGCTATTAGCTAAGTTGCTGCAAGGTTATCCCCATGCGTATCCTTTGAGCATTATTAAGTTTTAAATACATTGAGATCAGATTGTTTCTAGCATGAAACTGTAATCTCATAGTTTGCATACTGTAAAATATTAACAATAGAGTGTCGGCCTTTATGTAGTTATTGAATATTGTAACTTGCAAAATGCTATCGCTGTTAGCTCCGCAGCTTCCACACGAACTCCCATTCAAACGCAGTGGGAATTACAATTTGTAGTTAGTTAAATCATGTAACAAGTAAATTTTTAAAAACGATTTTACAACCTTTAAGACTTTACTAATGCTTATCTTTTAATCGGCTGACACACATTTTTATGAAATGTCTTACAACTTACAAATGGCTTGTTCAAATAGATTTAAGTTGAATTTGTCGTGTAGTAAACAGTTATACAAATCAGTTCATTTGCTTATTGATTTGCATTGGAAATTTAACATAGTAAACTATTGTTGACAGAAATACAAAATATAGCAGTGACATACAGCTGGGTGTATTTTAATTATATTCTTTGGAAAGTCCTGTTTAGTTTTTTTTTCCCCACTAATTAAAGCTTGTCATTTTATCAGCAAAAAATATTTATAATGTTAATGTTTTGATAAAAATCTATTGAATCTTGACTATTTGTATATGCAGTAATAATAGTAATAAAAATAATAATATCGCATACATTTTGTCAGATATTATACTGGTTTATCAACTGATTTTGAAGTAATTCTTGAATTGGAATTTCTACATTGTAATTTTCAACATTAAATCTTAGTAGTTTATTTTATGTTATTATAACTTATATCTGTGCAATCCCTCAGTCATCCATATAGGTTCAGTAAATGTGTGGTCTTATACTTGTTCTGATACAGCTCAAGATTATTTAAAGCTATTGAGGAAAGGTTAATTTCCGTCCTGTGAATATGACTTTTTTAGTATCGATACCTGTTCAAATTATTATCTAGTTTTGATACTAGTTTTTAGATGAGCCTGGTTTCTTCCAAGCAGGGTGACCGCGATCGTACACTTTAGCCCCAATCCTATTTAAGTACAAGAAGGTCACAGGATGAGGAGCTACCTGTGGCTAAGTTGGTAAGCCTGAGCAGATGAGAAAAGCTGTGTGTGTGTGTATGTGTGTGTCTGTATGAGAGTGTGTATGTGTGTGTGTCTGTGTTTTGTAAGCCGTGTACTGTAGGATTCACTGGAACGCTGCCCATTGATTTGTGTGTTTACACAATATAAACCTGTTTCTATTCACACAGACAGCTTTACAGGTGTGCCAAAGCATACTGAGCTCCTCTTAAGCAGTTTAGTAGTAAAAATAAAAAAAGAAAAGAAAGATTTTAAAAGATTTAGATTTGAAAAAAACTATTCAAAAAGTGTTAATCATCAAGTCAAGTCATATTGAATAGCTTTACAGTGATCTTGAGCTGTATCAGAACAAGATTAAGACCACACAGTCGCAGATATAAGGCCACATGGTAATATAAAAGAAAGTACTATTGCTTTTAATGTTGAAAATCACATTCTATTATCTATCTAAAGAAAGAGTGTTTTTGTGTATTGAGTTTATTCCTTAGTATTGAAATAGAGTATGAAATTATGGTATAGTGACGCTTATAGGTACTTTTACATAAAGCACGTATTACAATGCTTTATTATTATCATTATTAGTAGTAGCAGGAGTAATAGTGGTAGGAGTAGTAGGAGTAATAGTAGTAGTAATAGTATTGACATTAGTGATAAGGGATATATTGTTTATTAATAGGACTGCATTATTAATCACAATTCGATCAAAAGGTCAGTGGTTGCAATAAAAATGTTTGATCTATTTATTTATTTATTTGACAGGGACATTGCTCAATAAATATAATGCACAGACCAGATTTAGTTACATGTTCATTTTCATCTGTATTAAAAGGATGTTCTCTGCAAACTACAAAACTGTGCAGATCGAATTTCAAAACCACAACAAAAAACAGAATTTATTGCAGCTCAGTGTCATTCTGTGGCAGTACATAAACTACTTTATAAATCTTCTTTTAAATATTATGCTGTTTTCTGATCTTTGTTAAATGTTCTTTCCTTGTCACAAACAAACCTGGAGTTATGTTTTGTTTCATTCACACATTTTTAACACATAAATTATGTCTGGTAAGTGCTCCACTGTGTTTTTAAACTCCATATTACTACGCACACTAGAATCATTTGGATGATTTCAACCCTGGAATTGCACAAAATGACATCACAAGGTGGAACATTTTGAGCTTTGGAGATGTAGAGAGGCTAATAATAAAGGATTATTACAGTGTGAATTACAGGTGGACCGATATTTTTTTTTGCAGATTGTTTAGAATCCTGAGCAATAAGCTCTGCCGATATTTTGTGTCTATTGGCCCCGCATATAGATATGTACATACACAATTACATAACATACATACATAATTACATAATTTATGCAAAATAATAAGAACTAGATAGTACAGATTATAGAGATAAGTATGAAGGGCAAGTTTTGATTATTTTTGCTCAAGTTATGCAATTTAGATTTACTACAAACTCACTTAAAGTCCTTTGTTTACCATAAATCTCTAAGAAAGTGGTATAGTCAAATATTGTGCTGTTATCTCTTCAAATTTAAGTGTTCCAACAAAGTCTCAGGTGGATTCTTTAGTTAGCTGGTTGACCAAAATGTTTAGGACATTGGCTATCTCTAGTGTAAATGAAACAAAAAACAACTCCAAGTATGTTTCTGATAAGGAAACAACATTTTAACATGGCTTAAAGCTCACAAGAGTCAATTTTGCATAATATCAGACCTTTAAACAACATTTTGAGCAGAAATTTCATCCCATTGTTAACTCTGCTCTGTTCTTTTCCTCTCCTGACAGGATGGCGCAGTGGGGAGCCATACTGGCCATAGTGGCGGCTTTGGGAGGAGCTGGTCTGTTAACCTCTGTGCACAAGATCGACGAGGGCCACACAGGAGTTTATTACAGGTGAGACAAGGAAAAAACATCTGCTCCAAGTCTGTGTCACACCTGCCAGTTTAGTCAGTCAGACTAAGAGCTGTTAATTACGTACAGTTGTGATACTTTGCAATAGTACTAAATGTTTATGGGGTAATAAAATGTCAGAGTACATGGAAAAAGCTCATATAATTTTGCCAAACAGATTTGCCAGGGGGAAGTGACTTTGTATCTATATTCATTTTCTTCTCCTTATTCATCCTGCTCACTTTTTCCTCTAAATACTCCTACACCGAGCTTTCTTGTGGTGGCACTAACGATAAAACAGGAAACTTACAAACGCAGGTGCTCATTAGACCAGGGCGCTTGAATTCTTGTAGAGAAGAAAGAGGACGGCAGAGGCACTCTTGATTTGCAGTGTATTTATTTGTGCTTACACCAACATGTTTCGACTACTTATGAGTTTTCAATAGGACTGATAGAATAAAAAGCAAGTGTGGTCCTATTTATAGGGGTCATGTGACCAGTTATCGTGTACATTATTAAAAAGTCCATATCCATATCCATGTTGTATCCAAGTATATTGACAACATATCACTCTAACATAACAGATAAGAACCACTGTTTTGTATAGGTTGGAGTACAGTCTTATTTCCCTTAGGTTACACAGCACACTTCAACAAAAGTTTTTTGTTTGTTATTTTAATTCAGTTTCAGTTAAAATAACAGAAAACTCCAGAAGCAATGCCCAAAAGAAGTTGACAGAAACAAACAAACAGCCTGTTGTGCACCTATCCTCTTCACAGTGCACATGTTTGTAAGAGTTGTTGATTAAACCATTGTTTCCCAAAAACCGGGTCACGACCCTGAAGTGGGTCGCAAGAGATGTTTTTTTTGGGTTGCCTTGTCACGAGCTGCATGTAGGTCTGCAATATACAGGGCTGCATTTAATGTCCAAATAAGCGAATTATGGATCCTTTTATTGCTGGTTTTCATTGTTTAAAACATGAGTAACACAAATTGTTCAAAGAGACACAATCATTCATTTAGCAATAAAATATCCTCAGTAATGGTCAAATCCACCTTCAGTTTGTGATTTACAAATAATGTCTATGACTTGGGTCACGAAGGTTTGTAACTTTTAAAATATGGGTCCCCAGAAAAAAGTTTGGGAAACGCTGGATTAAAGGGCAAAAACGAATGTTAAATGTCACAATACATTCAATACCGTTGTGAACTCAAAAATATATACTAGAAATAATGGAAAAATAATAATGACCAGTAATCTCACTTTTCACATATTTACAAGCATGTAGCAAAGGGGCCAAAATGTATTGTTGTTTTTTTTTTGTTTTTTTTTGAGTTTATATCGATATCCAACATTTGGGCTGCTGGTGGTCGTAAGCAATATTTACCAAGAAAAAATGTATGAATATCTGTATTGATATCGGATTATACTGCTGTCAAAATCGGCATATGAATCTAAAGTATTGTATAATCGCTAACAGTGATAAATAAATTAGATAGATTTGTGGAACATGTAATCTTAGACTTAGACAAAATTTACTGATTCACAATGGAAATTATTTGGACACAGTAGCTCACATATCACAATATAATATAATAATAAAGAGTAAAAAAATATATATAAATGGTAGTAATAATAAATTCTAAGTAAGTTTCAAAAAAGAGCAAGAGACTGGTGTCAAATATGTACAAGTCAAAATAAAATAGAAAAAGATGAATATAGACAAGTAAAAATAAAATTTAGGGCTAAACGAGGTCTAAAAGTGGATTACATCATCTCCACTGTAGGTCTAAACAAGAAATTATCCAGAAAAGGACAAAAAAGTGGAAAAAATGAACTCTAAATGAGGCAAGCACACAAACGGATGAGCTGTCCAAGTACCACCAGAAGGAGCTCATGTAACACGGTTTGGGTAAAAACACTGACCTAAGCCACAAATTATTATGGATCAGTTCAGTTTACCATTTTATGCTTCAGTTTGAGGACTTTTTCCCATCCAAAATTTGTAACATTTTATTCTAAATCTTTAATCACAAGGGCAGCGGTCCTACTTTTCATCACTCTAATACTCCTGCATACTTTTAAATATCACTTTGTCATCAGCAAGTGGAGTCTTGTCTTGTCTTTCAGTTTCTCAGGAATAAGAATAAATCATCTGTCTCTCGTTTCTACAGCTATTGTTATTTCCATGGAAAGTTGTTAGTGAGTTTTGCTTGAATACTTTTCTCATTATCCAATAACTCTAGACCTTGGAGTATGTTTAGTCCAGTCTGTTTTTCCCACAACTAACCAGATGTTGTCGCTTTGTCTGGAATGTTTCCCAGTATGGCATTAACTCTTCCTATCTTCATGGAGACCAAGCCAGACCAAGTTACAAGTCAGATCTGCAGACAGGCGACCCCGCTCACAGTCAGAATGTCTCTTTTCTAGGTATTTTTGAGCTATAAAAACACTTGTAACTGAATAAATGTAAAGTAGAGCTGTTTAATGTCATACTGCGGAACATTCCAGGCAGAGCAATGACATCTCCATAGTCACCATAGTCTCCGGTACTAATGGGAAACACTGAGTCATTTCTGTTTTCCCCCAACTAAACCTTGGATTTTTGTACTGAAAGGTGCACTGTGTAACTTTTCTGGTGGAGGTCCATCACCTGCTTGTTTCTATAGATGGATACGTCAGTGCTCTACCTGGAATGTTCCACAGTATGACATTAAACACCTCTATCTTACATTTATTCAATTACAGGTGGTTTTATAGGTCCAAAATACCTAGAAAAACAGGCATTCTGACTGAGCGGGTCACCTCTCCACAGATCTGACTTGTAACTTGGTCTGGTTTGGTCTCCATGAAGATAGGAAGATTTAATACCATACTGTGAAACATTCCAGACAAAGCAATGACATTTCCATGGAGAAAAGCATTTAACAGACCCTTATCCTCCACCAGAAGTGTTACAAAATGCGCCTTTAAATGAGCTTTTTAAGTAAAAACAAAAAAAAAAAAAAGCACTTTCTGTTTTATTTGGTTTTATTTTATTTTGTTTTATTTAATCTTATTTATTTTATGTGATTGATTGATTTAGTTAGTTAGTTAGTTATTTGGGACAGTGCATATTAATGAACATCGACAACACTGCAGTGTAAATACAAGTGTCCACAAGTCTGGTTTTCCTTTAGCTGCTGTTTCAAGTGGAATTTGAAAGTGTCCAGTGTTGGAGTCTCTCTTATTGATAATGGGAGACTGTTCCAGAACTTGTGCCTCTGACTGAGCGCACACTTTGTCCGAATGTAGTGCATCTGTGTTGGACCTCACCGCTCCCCCGGGTCGTGGCCCTAGTTCTCATCCCACTGATAATATCTCTTTAATAAAATCCTTTAACGGATAGGGGATCTGCCATGTTACCTCATCAAAAACTTGCCAGAAACGGTTTTAAATGTCATCCCCTGCATGTCTGAGTCATTTGGCAATCTCTCCCAGACCTTGTTTGAACCCTTTTTACGGGTAGCTGTAAGTTTTATCTAATGCTCCACCCACAAACTTTAATCACCCATGCTCTCACAAGACAATTCTCCGTTAAATCATAATATAAAACTCTACACTACAGCAGGGGTCTCCATCCTGTAGCTCAGGAGCTACCGGTAGCTCTCCACCCTATTCCAAGTAGCTCGCCCAGGGGTTTCTGAATCTACACGTACTGTCCTGAATCAAATAAATGTCTGTTACCATTGTACATGTATCATTTTGATGCCTAACTTTGTACAGTGTCCCTCGTTTATCTCGGGGGGTATGTTCTAAAAATAACCCACGATAGGTGAAATCCGCAAAGTAGTCAACTTTATATTTTACAATTATTATCTGTTTTAAAGCTGTAAAACCCCTCACCACACACTTTATACACTTTTCTCACACAGGACAGTTACAACCCTTTTTGCATCCTTCTTAAAACTTATTGCTGCTTCGTCCTTATGTTATTTTCCTCCTTTATGTAACGAACTGAAGATTCATTAATTCTGTAATGGAGTCCTGCACGGGTAAATTTTTGGAGACCCGCAACCACGCAGTACAGCACCACATGTGGCCATTAACCCGAGATTATATCAAACTTTTGCTCTGCCTACACCACGGACTGAACCAAGACTAAACCAGGTCTAAACCAGGACTGAACTAGGATTAAAACAGGAGTAAACCAGGAGTAAACCAGGGCTAAACCATACTGAACCAGGACTCAATTTCGGGACAGGCTCAGAGGTGACCGCAGGAGAGCTCCGTACCTCACGGAGGTGAGCGCGGCAATTGCCCGATCGCGCTGCACTTCAGAATCACACTGCTAGCGATCGAACATTTCTGTAAATTTGGCAGCTGAACACATTCTGTACTGTACAGGAGACACGGCACAGAGGAGACTGATTGACAATGGTCTACAGCCCCTTAGCCAATCAGGACGCAGGGGGAGGAACACAATACGCACTCATACGCTGGAAAAAATAAATTTTTTTTTTTTTTTAAAAGCATGCAAAATTGCACAAAAAAAATCCGCAAAACAACGAGACTGTGAAAGGTGAACCGTGATATAGCGAGGGACGACTGTACACTAATAAATGGATAATGGTTTGTGTTTTATAGGCATCTAACTATACTTCATCGAAGGCTCACCGTGACTCTTATATATGCTCAATTTCTTGTGACTGCTAAAACAAGTAGCTCCCTGGCATTTCTGTTTTATAAAAGTAGTTCACCAGAGGAAAAAAGGTTGGAGACCGATGCACTACAGCTTTGGAAACCTGTTGCGATATGCAGTAGTTTGACTTTCAACTCAGCGTCAACTTATAAAACATGTTAATAAGCAAATTTAGCATTTAGCATCAAAACCATAAAAGGTAACCTAGTGATCTGCCGTGATTTTTCCGGGCTATTAGACGCGCTCTTAAGCCTCTAACCCCATCAAAAAAGACCGCGCGCTTCGCAATCCAGAGCACCTTATACATGAATCCACTCGGGT